TGTTTATGTACGTAGAGATGTAATTTGTACAAAATAAAACACACGTAAGTATACCGTCGCTTCCGTAACCGGTAGGGTTGCCATACCAAGTAGCTGCGGCTAGAGACCAATCGGAACCGCCGGTCCCGACAGCTGAAACATTGAGTTTCTTGGGGTTAAAGCAATGAGCCAAGTTTAATAGAAGACAAACTAGACCAAAGAGTAAGTTCATGATCTTGTAATATCGCTCTACGACAAGAATTGCCATTGTGATAATGATAAGTTACTACTAATAAGGAGGTTGCTACTTATAGAGCGATCGAATCCCGTGAAAGACTCTAATGCGTCCAACTGTTTTGTGACACGTGTCACTTTGTCTAAAAGGTAATAAGACACGTGATTTTTTAGTTTTATTACATGACGGTTAACGGTTAGACCAACAATTTTATGTGGCGGAATAAGACGTTGTCGTATTATGTAATTAATTATTCTTTTTCCCCCTAAATCAAGGTGATTTGGAATTAAATTGGATCTTCTCTCGTACTATTATCGTATACACTATACACTAATGGTGATTGATGGCGAAATTGATACGCTAATGTAGCCGTTAATGGTGGTTTGCTTTGGTCGTTGAAAATTCATCACCACCGTTAAATCTTAATCTCACGGTTAGAAAAATGATTCGATTACATAAATTTCTAAAGTTTTTATTTAACTAATGTGACGAAAAGTTTGAAAATAATCGCAGGCTGTTTGACCGTAAAACGTGGCGTAAATCAGGTTCGTTATGTGATTTACTAAAATGATATCGATATATTTGGTTTTTTTCATAAAATAAAGCCATGGGTGGATTTTTTGACCAAAAAAACGTCATGGGTGGATCCCACGTATTAATTCTTGAAATGAGTTGCATTAAGAAAAATTAAAATAACTTTTCATTAGATTTTGGTGATACACATCCGGTCCAATATCTTTAGACGGTCCGGCCCATATAAAATGATTGTTTTGATAGTTATTTTCGAAATATCTACTTATTCTTTTTAACAACTAAACATTTCAATAAAATAATTTGCCCCGATCGAACTGACCTAACCAAATAATCGACCTTAATTCTGTTAGACTAAAGTCTCCAAACCACACAGAGTGTTCTCAAAACATCAGTATTGGGCTTGCGAAAATCATACAGATGGGCTACATGAAGACAAAGCCCACTAAAGAATTCAAAAATAAAGATTAGATCAAGGGACAACGGCTATCTCCTTCATCAGATAACGACAAAGCTAAAATTGCAGAGCAAGGAGGGAGAGCATCTACGAGTACGGCCAGTCAAGTCAAATTAGCCAACAAATTTGCCATTCTGTCATCGTTATTTGAAGGAGCAATGGATGCTTGACAGATGGCGGAAGATCTAGAAGGTTCATCTATGTAAAACCCTAGCTCAATCTCAGTATAAAGAGTAGCTTAGAGACATTGTAATCGCTAAGCAGAAATGAATCAATAAGAAATACTTTCTTCTTCAATAAGCTCTTTGTTGTGTTTTGCTTAATCTTTCA